GGAGGGACCACCACCAGAGGAGAGACGCAGGGCAGGTGTGTAGAAGGAGCTGTTAGAAGAGGGGATAAGGGGGGGTAGCTCACATGATCAGAGTGGGGCTACTGGAGAAGTGGGCATAGGGGGGAGAGAAGGGCTGGTGGTGGGGGCAGGTCTCAGGAGGGCTGAGGGCAGTAAGAAGGTCAGGAATCAGGACATTAGAGGAGGGTGAGGAGTTGGGAGGCAGCAGGCAGGGAAGCTGATGGAGCAAAGGGAGGAGAAATGGCAGCAGAGAGAAAAGATAAAGGTTTAAAAATATTTATTAATAACTTGGGTGCCACAGTAGCACATCCAAACAAGCCACATGAACTCAGTACTGGTGCACAACACAAAATTAATTTTGCTCATGCGAAGAAACTCTTAGGTTATGTCTACACTGGCGGTTTCTTGCGCAAGAGTTCTTGCACAAGAACACGTCCACACTGCCATGTGCGAGCTGTGCTTTTGCACAAGAGCATCTATGGCAGTGTGGACACTCTCTTGCCCGAGAAAGTGCAGATGGCCATTTTTGCCATAGGGCTTTCTTATGCAATAAATTCATGTTGCCTGTCTACACTGGCCTCTTGCACAAGAACAGTTGTACAAAAGGGCTTATTCCTGAGTAGGAGCATCATAGTTCTTGCGCAAGCAGCCCTGATTTCATACATGAGAACGTCAGTTTACTTGCGCAAGAACACACGGCCAGTGTAGACAGGCAGCAAATTTTTGCGCAAGACCAGCCGCTTTGGCGCAAGATCGCGCCAATGTAGACACAGCCAAGGGGAGGGTGGAACGGAGGCAGGAGCTTGGAATCAGTGCTGGGTCAGCAGGTCTGCATGGTTTGGGGGAAGGTGCAGGGAAATTGAGCTCAGCTGGGTTGCAGAGTGGGGAAGTCCAGGGATCTGGGCTGGGCTTTCGGGTGTGTGTGTGTAGCTCAGAGCTGTTTGACTGCAGGAGGAGGGAGGTGCGGGGGGCTAGACTCAAGGGGAGGGAGGGGCAGGGAATCAGCGCTTGGCTCAGCAGTTTTGCGGGGTTTGGGGGAGGTGCAGGGAAATGGGCTCAGCAGTCCAGTGGGGGAGGGCATGCAGGGAACCAGTGCAGGGCTCAGCTGAGCTGAGGTGGATGGGGGAGGGTGTACGTAACAGATCAGCAGGGGTGGGCAGATCAGTTGGGTTGCAGGGGATAGAGGTGCAAAGAAGCCGGGGAAGGGGGGAAGAGAACTAAGAGCCCTGAAATGACCTCCCCTGGTCCAAAAATCCCTCATCTGGGACCAGTCAGGTCCAGAGGGTGCCAGTTCAGAGAGGTCCAACTCCTACCCAAGTCACCTCCTTGCACCCTCCCTCATAACCAGACACCCTACCCCCAATCTGCTCCCGCTTCCTCCCACTGGCCAGATACCCTACATCCAGCCTGCTTCTGCACCCTACCTACCACCCAGACCTTGCCCGCTTCCACCCCCCACCTCCCTCCCAGATCCTGCATCCCATCCCTATCCCGCTCCTTGGCAGCCCTGCCATCTACCTTAGCACCTAGCACCACGCTGTCCCTGACCCCAACACCCTGCCTCACACCCCAGGACTCAGCACCACCCTTGCACTGGCCCCGGCCCCAGCATCCACGCTGCCATCCATGCTAGCACCCAATATAGGTGATAAAATTTGAAGGGAAATTACTTTTCATTTTCAGGAGTCTTTAAGAGATACTTACTAACAACATAGATAAACAGAAATCTAAATTCCTGTTTGGTAATTTTTCAAAATGTTTTAAATAGAACAGTTAAACCACATCTGTTTCTGTAAAATGTTTGTCCAGTATGGTTACAAGCAACCCCATAGCTGAAGCAAAATGCAGGACAATGTAGCACTTTAAAGACTAACAAGATGGTTTATTAGGTGATGAGCTTTCGTGGGCCAGACCCACTTCCTCAGATCAAATAGTGGAAGAAAATAGTCGCCGCCATATATACCAAAGGATACAATTAGACCCCAGACCTCCTGTCTCAACCTAGTGAGAGTGTATAAGGGCTGGGGATAGCAAGTGATGGAGAGGAGGGGAACAGAGCGGATGAGGCCTCAAGGAAGGAGGGTGGGGGTCTTGGGGAAGGAATGTGATTTTCATGCATTTGGGGGGACTTTCATGAATTGGTGGGTCCCTCCCCCCCGCTCCCCATTTTTTTATTTTTTGCTTGACAAACCTAGGGATTCCTTGAAATTCTAAAAAGCTGAAAAGGGTTCCTTGGCCAAATAACATTGGGAAACGCTGTCCTAATTTATTATTCAGTTTTCTGGGGATCCTGACATTGTACTAACAGTTTTTTGTCTCGGTTTCAATATAATTGACTGGCATTCCTCCACTGGCTTCCCTCACCAACCATATATGAACAACACAAGTTTCTATCACCGCCAGAGGAGATTTGAAAAGGCATAAAGAGCATAAAAGTATCTAACTCCACTTGTGCCCTGTCAATTTCTCTAATTGTCTGCGCAATAGAGTGAAATATTCTTGCTTACAAATCCTTCTTCCTCATAAAAGAAAAGCCCTAGCTGATCTTGTCCTAACTCTCAGTACAGGTTGCCCTCCCTGTTCCATCATGCTCGCGACTTGTCTGGTCCCAAAAGAGGGAGTTTTCTGGACCGGGGAAGGTTGGCCCCTCTGCTGACAAACTCCAGGCTTTCCCAGGGTCTGTCAGCAGATTGTCAGGCTCCAGGCCACTGGGCCCTTGGCTCTGCAGCCAACTCCACCTCCCTAGGGCCACCGTGGCTCTGCCACCCCAGGGCTACCACAGCTCAGCTGCTCCAGTGCTACTGAGACTCCACTGCCCCGAGCCAAGGCTCTTTGCTCCTGTCAGACCACAGATGTTGTGGGACCAGAGAGTCCTGGACCAAAGAGGTTCAACCCATAGTAAATCCATCAGAGAGTTGGATGCCACTTTCTAAAGTCCACCTCCCTAATTCTTGGAGCTTGAGGAGGAAAGTTGTGTTTTAATTAACAGCACACTTCCACAAAACTTATTTTTTTTCAATCAGGCACCAAGTAGTTCAAGATTACAACAGCAACCAAACTGTGTCAAATGTCAGATAATAAAATTGTCTTCATATTTAAAATGTGTTTCATTATGGAGGCAACAATTTCAACCAGCACGAGGGTTGTTAGATGGATCATTTTATGGTAAACTACCCCAAAAAGAAACACTTCAAGTGTTCCAGATTTGTTAGACATAACCAAATCTTGGATAGTTATTCCCAATTATCTATTCACTAGGACATTGTTCTCTATTTCATGTCAATTATGTATTCAGGATTGTTAAAATGAACATAGCTGAGTGGAAGTGGCTGAGTAGATGTGGTTTAGTTCTCTTTTAGGCTTGCTATCTGCTACTTGCATTCCAATCCATCTGTGTGGACCACTTCAATATAATGTCATACTTGTCTCATATGCCACACTCCTTTCTCCAGTACCTTGTGCCTCTCAAAATTTGACTCTTGAAGCAGCATTGTTACAAATCTTGAGGTTTACAAATCTTTGTTTACATAAATTTAAGATTAAAGTTTCATGAAAGTTTAGGCATGTTACATCTTCCCTTTAATCCCGTGAAATATTTTACATTTCTAAATTAATTGTAAATTCCTCTAAGTTTTATCTTTAATATAGAACTGTTACCAATATGTTCCTTCCCTAACAGTTTCTTTAAATGTTATCACTTTAAATGAGCTTCCTAAGAATGACTGTATTTGCTTCACAAAAGATGTCTCCCTTTTAGTTCAATTCAATAATTAAATATAACTTCTCTCTCAAAATCTACAAAAACTTCACCAACTCTTGTTTCTTCCTTTGCAAAATTCTAGGCCTGGGACAAATTAACTTAGATTCAAAACATCTACTCATTTCCTCACTTTCCAAATATTTTTATGTATTGGATATAAACCATTCCCACAATTCCCACAAACATCTTTCTCCTTAGGATTGTGCCCCATGAGCAACTGGAAGGTTACTGAGGAACTGTAGGCTCTCCCAGTCACTGCCTGGAACACAAGTGTCAGGTGCAAACTAGGGATGTTAGATATCAGGTAATTGGATAGTCATGTAACTGCATGAAATTTTAGCAGTTACATGACTATTCAATAGTCCCCAAGGGTTCTATGAGAGGCAGCAGTAGGGGGTGGTCTGCAAGGGGAGCCAGTTTAAAAACCAGCTTCCCGCGCAAGCCAGCTGCCTGTCACCCCATGCTGCTGCCTGTGATACAGACGCAGCACCGCAGGGTGGCAGCAGTCCCTGTCCATAGGAGGTCCATACCCAGGGTTATCAGTTAATCATTTACTTGACTGTACACTAACATCCCTGGTGCAAATGAGAAGAAAGACCATCAACCAATTGTGGAACAGGGTCTGTCTGTCAGCTAATTTCTTGTTTGGCTATTTCCCTTTTCCACAACTCCCCCAAGTGAGTTTCTAACACCTCAGAACGGCAAACAGTTGAGAACTGAGATGTGCAGGACCTAAAACTCCTAAATCTGTAATAATGATACTGAGAATTAAGTGTCTCTGATAACCCCATGTCCCTGCCATTGGAGCTGCTGCCATCTGTCACTTCAACAATACCATTTGGAATAGCTGCAGTTCATGTTAACAATCTCACTGGTGCATTAGCACCTAACACTGGTACGATAAGACAAAAGTAAGAAAAGAGCCTAAGATGCATGTTTTAAAAGCCATTAAAATAAGCAATGCCCTCCCCCCTCTCCCGTCTCCCAAACAAAATCCCACTAATTTGTAAACGTCTAATCTTATTTTTGCCAAATTCCCATTAGATTTCTAGTGTCCCTGCTTATCCCCAGGGCATAACCAAGATACACAGCATCCTGACATTACCCAAAGGTAAAACACAAAGATTGTAACGTGTCATATTTGTGATCCATGTACATTTGTGAGGACATTAACTATTTTTTTTCAATGTATAAAATGTAATTAATAGAAACATATCCTCACCACTTTGTACCCCGTATCTGTTTTGCATGCTTTTCTCCCTGAAAACATTAGGATTCCTTGCCAGGACAGCCTGCAGCAAGACTGGTATATCTCCCTCTGGATCATCGCTGCCAAGGTTATCTTTCAATTCTCTGGGATTGAAGAGATAAGCAAACAAAAAAAAAAAAGGTTTTTAAAGTATCGGAGGCTAAAGATTAAAGCTACAGAACTGCTCAACAATAAATGGAAAAAAAGTTTAAAATGTTGTTCTTTTGCTCCTCAATTTGAAATTCTTATTCCTTTCTTCAACAGAATGGAGTATTTTAATCTTCATATTAATAATTTCCCCACTTTTACCAGTTAGACTAATGATAAATCTTCCCATATTCACTCTGACAGCCTGATCTTCTCCATCGCAGAACAATGCATTAATGGTAAAGCCACCAGTAAGGTGTGAGGTTTGAGCTAACAATTTAAGCGTGTTCCTGTTTAATCGGTCAATTGCCCAATCCTTGATAGGAGACGACTGTCTCTCATCCATCCATGAGAGTTACAGGATTTTCTTTAAAATGCTTCTATGTTTACATCCTACCCACAAAGGGGCTTATTTTAAAATATGGGTTTATCTTGGGGGATTGGCTTCACATTCAACCATAGCAAATTACTAGAACATTTGGAGAGCAGTGTAGGAGGCAAAGCCCTAAAGACAAGCCAATTCACAAGACAAAAAAAAAAAAAAACTTGACAACATCCTAAAAATTCTGACTACAGGAGCCAATCAAAGCAGATGAGTTAAAAGAGCTGCCACAGAAATATAAGCATATTCATAGCAGTGTTAGAGAAATAACTGTGCAGCGATTATGCAAATTCCTGTACAATCATTGACTAATAATGGATGTAGGTCAGAATACAGGAATGTTACAGGGTTTCTGATCCCTATAAACAAAGCAGATCCAGCTACTTTGTGCCAGCAAAAGTGCTCCATTTGGCCAATTAAGTGGAGGGTATGGGCAACACCTGGGACCATAAAGTATCAGGGAGAATTTGAGAAGAAGCAGTTCCTTGAAAAAACTGGAAGAAGTCCCAAGGGAAAGACTGAAAGGAGGAGAACAGCAGAGGGGTTTGCTGGTTGGTCTTCCTGAGCTGGACAGCTATGGCTAGAGTTCTGAAAGAATAAGAGCAGAAGAGGGAGTTGTCTCCTTCCAAGCTGGAGCTAAGGACCAGAGAAGAGTGAAGGCAGGGAAGCAACAACAGGGTTTAGCCATTAGCCTTTCTGAGATGCAAATAGAATAAGGGGAATGATGGATGTTCTCTTGCAGAGGATGAACTCCCAGTACAGAGACTGTGGGAGTTCCAACAGGGAAGAGCAGGGTTGCATACCTGCTGGAAGGGATTAAGTGATGTCCTGACTGAAAGACATGCGAGGAGTGAGGGAAAGCAATGGTGGAAGATGCTGGAGTGTAGTATGTGTCATGTCAATCCAATTAGATATTGGGGGATTTTAAGGACTATATGCTGTAGGAATGATAAACCAATTATGTTTTGGGGCTTTTATTATGGATTATTTATGTAATGTTTTTTAAATAAAAAGGTCCCAAAGAAGATCATAACTCAAGCAAAAATGCCTGTTGTGGAAACTTAACGGATCTGAGAGGGGAACTGGGACCATAAACCTGGCATTAGGGAACTAGGGACGAGGGGGACTTGATGACGAGAGATATGAAAAACAGTATACAAATAACACAGCCACAACCTATGAAATTGCAAGCGACAACATATCTGGAAGAAAATACACAGTTATTCATATGTAATTGTTCAGTAAACATACACTTTGACAGTTAAAACTATTTAACTTTGCTCTAATATAAATTGGTACTGTGACACACAAACTTGATACGTAGCTGCATATTTTTATTTTTAATACTGACAACCACTTCTTACATCTATCTTTACTCATTTTAATCTCACAAAGAATAAACAAACAATTCTGAAACTCTGGTGTGAAGAAACACAAAAGTACATACATGTGATCTGTTGACACTTGGTTGAGGCTGTGTACAAGTTGTGAAACCAGATTTTCATCCCTGCAGGCCAGAAGGCAGTTCACCTCTTCTGCTATTCGTCCGTTAAAGAGCAAGCTTTTTGTAGTTGTAGCGGGTAAAGGTGATGGAAGAGGCAGCTGGTTCAAAACTGTATTAGAAAAAAAAAGAAACTCAAATTAACCAGTAAGACCAGCATCACTTTCTTCTCTCAAATCCTTTAAACGAGCACACAAGCATGCACAAAGAGTTTGAAACACATTGAAGATCTCTGAGTTTTTCATTACATCAAGAAAATCTGGAATCATATTTTAAACCCGTGGTGTCCAACCAGTTCTGAAGCAGTAGCCATTATAGCAAACTTGCCACACATAACCAGCCAAATAGCCACATGTTTAGTTGCTAGTATTTGGACACCACGGTTTTATACTAAAAAACTGAATTAGATTAAAATCCACAGACTATATATTATGGGATTATTTTAAATTAAAAATGTCATTTGATAGTCCTTTCTTTTTCAAAAAACCTTCTTCAAATAAACCAAAAACAACAATAATTTAATATGCCAAAACAATGTACCCTTGGAACTGAATCAATTATTTAAAAGGGAGAAAAAATAAATAAATATAGGTACTAATGTTGTAAGCAACTAGTCAACTACCCAATAAACAAATGCCTCTTCCTCCCCCCTTCTCTTGCTGCCTCTTAAAAGCAGATTTCCCCCCAGCACTGTTTCCATGGGGGACAGGGGAGGCAGAGGGCAGCAGGGAAACAGAGCAATCGGGGATTGAAACAGTCCCACTTGCACTGGTCCCAACTGCTGCTCCTCTCCCTTTGAAATGTACAAGAGCCACCTGCGGCTCTTCTACTTTTCAAGGGAAGAGGCACAAAAGGGAACCTGCTGCATCTCTCTCTTTGAAATGTACAGAAGCCATGGGCGGCTCCCCTGCATTTCAAATGGGGAGAGGCAGCAGGAACCAGCTGGGTCTCTCCCTTGGAAATATACAAGAGCAGTGTGACCCTCTTGTACATTTTAAAGGGAGAGGTGCAGTGGGACAGTGAGCGCCCCCCTTCCTGACTAATTGAGTGGTTGATGGAAATTTCACTGACAATTCGATTAGCTGATTAATTGAAATTTAACATCCGTAATGGGTGCACACAATTCAGTGATTGTGTATAACATCTGCTTACAATTTTCTTGTTTCATCTGTAAGTTGCAGTGGCACAGATCAAATGTTCAATGTCACCTGTTTCCAAGATGAACTGATTTAAAATCAGTGTGATCTGAGGAAAACTTGATTTAAATAAATTATGTTAATCTTGTTTTGCATTTCTACTTGTTATTTTCCTAAAGAACAGCATCATCTCACTTATTGAGAGAAGCACTGAAACATGTTAATTAGCAACTAAATGTAGTCTTTGAACTAATTTTGGTACTCTGTTACCCAGAAGGACATGATATATCTATAGTGAGTTATTTCTACAATTATAAAGCTCAATATGCATTCATATAGTTAATTTTTACATATTTTATGTTAAGAAATGTATTCGCCTTTTTCTATCAAAGTAATTTTTACTCATGACTTTGCATCAAGCATGATTTCAAATAGATACATGAAATCAATAAAAAATGCACAAAAACAGTATTTTAAAATGTGTTTTTAATTAGTTAAATACACTCGGCACTCTTTTTAATGTATCCAAACATGTTTACTATTTAAAATAAACTCATTTGTTAAACTGTTTCTAGTCATCAAGTTCCTCAAGTTAGTAGAATGGACCTCATTCTCTCTCTCCTCATTTTTATTCATATACTGAAAGAAAAACAAGCTTTCCTGTTTTTTTAAATTTCTAATTGGTGTCAACGCTGAACAAACTAAACCAATTAAGGAAAATATTCTGCACGTGGAGAAAAGGTGACTTAACACATCAAAAAATTCTAATTCCAGGTGGTCAGTCTCCTTAAAACTTCAACGTCAAACATGTACTGCTTAAGCATGCTTGAGTGTTTCAACTCCAGTCCTGAAATATATTATGGTTGGCATGACTGATTATTAGATGTGCATGTCACTGCAGCACCTTCCAGTTCAGTAGTAGAACATCTACACTCCGATAGTAGAAAATCTACACTCCAGCACTTTCTCTGTTAAGAATATGGCAAAAAAAATGAGGTAGGGTGAATTTTGATCCATCTGTTTCTTCACAGCATGCAATTTAACTCTGCTGTGGGATATTTTCTTCTGTGGTGTTTCTTGGAATTTCTTTCCAATTTCAACAGCATCAGTAATTAGGCCACTATCTTTTTACCATTTGTCCTAATGTATGGAAATAGGTTTCAGAATATTCAGCACAGCTTCCGTATTTCTATTTAATCCAACATGGACTACTTGAGTTGTGGTAGTCTATCTATTTTGTCTCAATATTCTTTTCAAATAGTTTTTAATTTAAAACAGTGCAAAATAATCTACCACTGCATTCCATCATGCATCTTTGGGGAAGCTGAAGCAAAACAATTGGTTAGAGAAGCTTTTAATAATTTCAACAACATTTTCCATTAAGGTTGGAGTACTTAAATCTTTGGCTAAAAGATATAACACATGAGCATACCACTCATTTGATGTAAGTTTCAGCATCTCCTCACTATCCTCTTCCAGGATTTTTTCTCATCTCAGTTTCAGAATGTTACTTCTAATTTATTTATGTTTTACTGTATTAAGGTAAGTTTATCATAAATTATGTTAAGGCCTAAGATATATTTATCTTTTAAAAGAAACTAAAAATACTGAAAAAATGTAGAACAAGTATTAAATAAAGTACTTACGGTCTGTGAGACTAGCAATCCCTGCAAGAGTAGTGATGGGAACATGAGGCATATCCCCATTCATCCTGAAGCTCTGGGATGGGTGCCTTCACAGATATTTTAGTTCAGGTGCCAGCTATCATTACTTCCCATCTCCCAAGCACTACAAAAAGCAAACAAAAAGCAAACAAAAATTCAATTTGCTTAAGGATACTAGGAGGAATTCAAAAGCATTATAAAGTTACAATGAAGGCTGAACAGTTTATATAATTCTTAATGCACTTTTCTCATCATGGAGAAAATGTATTAATAAACAATAAAGAAGCAGTGGTAAAAAGGGTAAGAAACCACAAATGAATCTTAATACCATGTTGAACAATTTACATGAGCTTATTCAAGTGACTGAACAATGATCAAAAAGGCAAGCTTCTTCTGAGGATTTTATTACAAAGAAAATGTTGCTCAATTTATACAATGTCAAACAAATTGTCAACATTTCATTTGCTGGTATTCTTTTAGCGATCAAACATTTGACAAAGTTATATCTGATCTTGTAACAAATGACCTAAGATAACTGTAATTGAAAGATTCATGAAAAAAATCTATTCACTTTACACTAGACTGAACTTCATGCCTATTTTGTTTCAGAATTTATATTCGGATTCAATTTATAGGGATGTTCTAGGTAATAACAGGGTAAAGCAACATTACAAAACAGGAAAGTGTGGTGTAAAATCACAGGGAGCAGGGAAATCCAGGGCAGATATACCACCTTATACTAATTACAAAGTTCTGGCCTAAATTTTAGGAAGTGACCAGTGATCTGTGATGCCTCAATTTATGGATGCCTCATTTGAGACACCTGAAGGGGCCTGACTTTCACTGAAAAAAGTAGAAGCATCATAAGTCACTGAATTTTTCACTAGATTTCAAGTTTTAATTGACAGTAGCCCTTTAATACTAGCTCTTTGCAAAAAGTAATACTTATCAGGAGACTTGTGAAACACTGCACTAGCTTGTAGCATTCCTGTTGTATTGTCTTAACAGGCTTTTAACAATGTATACGGGGAGGGAGAGTTAACATTTTCAGATGAATTTGTTATATATTATAACAAAACACAAAGAACCTCATGCTAAATAAAATGCATGCTTCCCTCAACCTTACATTGTTCTGCTAATGCAAATATTCTCTTTTAGTCGAAAACTTCCCCTTTGCAGATCTGTGGTAATGAATAAGTAGCTTTTATACAAATATATATGGTAACTTAGGAGGCTAGATCAATGTATTAGTAAAATCTTTCACTTCTAAATCACTACCTCAATTCTAATTTAGATCAGTAAATACTGAAAATTATCATCTGAACGCTAATTGGGTCCCCATATAAAATGAGTTAATTATCACAGATGAGGTATAGAAAGATGTTTACCAATTAGAAAGAAAACAAAAAACCCAAAACCATCACTCCAGATATCTCTTGACAATCAAAGCATAGATCCCAAAGATTCACTGGGAATGAAAAGAGAGTTATTCTCATAACTCCAGAGATGGCTCCTTCAGGTCTAGATTGAGGCATTTTTCAGAATTGGGGGGGCAGGGGAGGGAGAGGGGAGGTAGCCTCCTTCCCTTTCATATTGTGTAGTGCAGATGTGAAAGTGATGAGAAATAGTGATGTAAAATCCCGTTTAATTGATTAAACACATTGTTTAACTGGTTAACCAATTAAAAGGAAAAAGCAGCGTGCAAAAATTCAAGAGTAAAATTGTTAACCCAAGTCTTGAGGGTTGGAGCAATGTCCACAATGATCCTGCTATATGTGCTTGTGTGACAACAAAAGAAGGGAATGTCTTCCTTATAGAAACAATTGATACATCATGACATGCACATACAGCAGAATACTTACAAGCAGCAGTAAAAACTACAGTATAACAAATAGTGAAAAAAAATCACATCTAGTACTTGAGAAGACACTGTATCCAAGATGAGAAGAAATTTAAGAGACCCAAGCTAACAACATACAATTGCAGTGCTTTTGATGCACCTCCTAGCTAAAGACTTCAGTGTTCCAGAAATAAAGGCTACTGTTGTTGAAATTGCAAAATATTTCTGTAACAACCACTTTGCAGCAGCTGCTCTGAAAAAAGTGGGAAGAACCATGCTAACTCTCCCACAAGATGTGTGATGGAACTAAGTAGTGGACTCTTTTGAGCACTGTATCAAGAACTAGACTAACATGATGACAGTTTGTGAACAAAATCATGAAAAAATACATGGCACTGTCACAGCCAAAGTTCTCAAGTAGAGATGTTAGCGAGTACCCAGTTACATGATCAACCGATAAACCTGGGCTCGTCACTTAATCTTAATGGTTAGACATAGTCCCCTCCCTGCTTCCTTCTTCTGTATCAGAGGCGGAGGGGGAGCAGGAGCTGGTGCCCATGGGGAGCTAGCTGGCTTTTAAGACTAAGACTTCAAGATTAACGAGTAAATTCCCAATCTGACTGCTATGTTGGACGTTGCTAGGAAAAAAAAAACAGCTTAGCTCATCCTTATGGCTTGTTTCATTATTTAACTTGGTTTAGAATGTATCTCACATTCATACATTACAGAAAGCTGCAATAAGAGAAATCCAGAGTTGCCAATTGCTACTGAGTATCATTTTCTTATTTTCCATTACATAATACATGCCTCTTATTTTGGAACAGCATGGTCATAGACCATAAGGCTGTGTCTAGACTGGCATGATTTTGCGCAAATACTTTTAACGGAAAAGTTTTTCCGTTAAAAGTATTTGCGCAAGAGAGTGTCTATACTGGCATGTGCCTTTGCACAAAAGATTTGCTTTTGCGCAAAAGCATCCGTGCCAGTGTAGAAGCTCTTTTGCACAAGAAAGCTCCGATGGCCATTTTAGCCATTGGGCTTTCTTGCGCAAGAAATTAACATGGCTGTCTACACTGGCCCTCTTGCACAAGAATACTTGCGCAAGAGGGCTTATGCCTGAGTGGGAGCGTCGGAGTATTTGCGCAAGAACCACTGGTTTTGTACATTATAAAGTCAGTGTTCTTGCGCAAATACTTGCGGCCAGTGTAGGCAGGCAGCAAGGTTTAAAACAAGCCAGTCTAGACACAGCCTAATAGCGGTGCCATAAGTCTATTCCCTATTTTACTTCAGCATATTCAGCTCGCCCAAAGGAACACCCTTCTATACTTGTTTTCAATAGGGTTTACTCTAAAATTAAGTGCACTCTCAGCACAGACAGCTTTTTTGAAACTTGGAATCAGATCTGCATCAAAATGACAGCCAAAATGGGGAAGATGAGAGCAAGTTATAGAAGTTTTAAGGACACCATACATTTAATGTTCTGAGGACTTAACCTGCTGAAAATTAATAAAAAAGTGTTTAAGGACAGATGTCAGCTGGTAATTCCGAGGACTGCCATAATTGCAAATGTGAAACATATATGTTCAGGATGTAAAAGATTGATCTGTTACCGGTAAGCATTATACTTAGTAGGTAACCAGCATGCTTACTAGGTAACCAGTTAACCAGAGGGTCAGGTAGGGGAAGCAGTCCCTCACCCACCGCACATCAGCTGGAAGGACTCTGGCCTGACAGAGCAGTCAATCACCCACAGCATGGCCTTGACGGAGTGTCAGATAAGAGAAAACACCCCTTGACCTCCTCCACCTCCTCTCCCCCGCCCCCGATGAGGACTCCAGGAACATGGTTAACTGGTTTATTAACTGATTATAATTAAATCATTTAACTGATTAACTTTTTCACTGGACAGCTATCAACTGGCAATTCAGGAGACTGCTGCAATTGCAAATGTGAAGCATTTATGTAACATTTAAGATTTAGTTTAGTAAAATATAAGCGCTATTGTGTTTGCATGTATGATTTACTTCTTAGCATTCCTAATGTACTGCTGCTGCATCTGCAGCTTGACACAGGTAATGAATATTACATACTATTCCCTAAATTAATACAAATACAAATTATCTAAAAAAATTATGCAAAGTATACCATCTTAGATTATATAAAATGCAGTACTGAGCTGTAAGTTAACATGTTTTAGTGATCAGATTTGCACCATTATTTGAAAAAAATGTGTGAAGAAATATCAGAGAGAAACTTGATTTAAATCAATTTTTGGTGATTTAAATCACTATTTCAATCAATTATTTGAATTGCCTTGATTTAAATCATTCCACGCTGATACAAAGTGATTTTGGAGTGATGTTGACTGCCCCTTACATCACAGCCTTTAACACCAGAAACTTTGGTGTGGTATGTGAGAACAAAAATTATGCTGTCTTGGAAGGGACATTTTTATCTGTCCTTTTACAAATGGGTGGGACTGCTACCAGGACTTGCCAAGTTGTCTTTGGCTAGATCCATAGGAGCCTCATTTATTGATAGGGCAATCTTGGAAGAGATTGAAGTCTGGAAGACGTCCTGAAACTTATGTTGGACGTCTGCCATTTCCTCTAGCACAATCTGCAATCCTCAAACTGTTCCTGAAACTGCTGAAAATCATCCCACATAGTTGATGGCAAGGGCATCATGGTTTCATCCAGAAAAAATAAAGAAAAGCTGGTATCTGGTGCAGGTTTCCTAGTCCACAATTTCTAATTCCTCAACTGCTTCTTCTGAAACTTCAGAAGGTCCAAATACCGAGGGTAAAGGAGAATATCTTGACCTCAGCTGTGGGTGGAGTAGGAGGCTTACAGTAGTTAACAATATCCTATCCATTTCTCCCAGTAAGACCATTGTGGTGGAAATGACATGGGTTGTGGCATCCAAGAGTGTCTTTACAAGTCTTGAGTTTCAGGTCCTGCATGATATTCACAATTTTCTCATGGATCTGGTCTAGTAACTGCATGGATAAATGAGAAGTAGATTTCTCTTTCATCCTCCTCATTAGATAAAGGGGGAGCTGATCTGGGCAGGGAAATAAGAGGACTCAAGAATGCGGCAGTGAGATTGGTACCAAGGAGTGGAGATTCTGTATCAATAAGACCAGATCTTTGTAGAGGAGAAACTGTTGTAGTACTAAAAGCACTGATATAGAAGAAGGTTTTGTCAGAAGTACCAATGTCCTTGACATGGTCTTTGGTACCAGAGATGATGCACTATGCACTTTGGGGCAGAAATTGGTGACA